ATAGATATGTACCAAAGCTACTGATGGCTCTTTTTATTATATATTTAAGCTATGCTGTAATATTAATAGTAAGACATATGATGTCTCTAAGGCTGATATCAAAAACTAGTTTTTTAGAAGCGGTATCCGAGTGCCAGGTATGTCAACCTGAGGTAGGTAAAGTATAAAAAAATGCTGAATGAGCGCATAACTTGAAGCCCACCAATCGTGTACTAAAATCGAATAATACAGAATACACGAACTTGTGCGCGCAAAATGTTGGGCTCGACCTGAGAACTCAGATCGGCCCATCATTTTCCCCAAAATAGAAGGCTAACAAAAAAGACAGAAGTGTTTCCTAGCAGAGGTAAAAATGCAGCCAATGCGAACGGGAGAAATACACGAGGAAGATGTATGGCTACAAGATCGAGCGCGCCCCTTGCGGCTCCCGTAACCGTGCTTGGAGATTCTCAAGACCCGGAAGCGAGGAAACAAATTAAGACATATGTGCATATTTGTTTGAAAAGTTTGAGAGGACACTCGGAAAAAATGTCTAAGTGCATCTGTGACACTTATGTACACGAAATGTACGAAGATTTCTTAAATATGTAGTGCGATGTTAAGTATTTTTTCAAGGAGTTGTGCGCACCATTATGTTGTTGTGATTAGGAACGAATAATTCATTAAAAAGAACTCAATGTAGTAATTTTCTATGGAAGATGACCCACCTATACTGTTAATCTAATCGTTAATAAATATAGGACCGATTAGATCTGTAAATACTTACTAAACTTTGTTAAATAAACACCATACAACGCAGTGGGGCTATAAAAAATCCAAGCGATGTCCCGTAAGGGCACTGGATCGAAAGTCAACAGTTTGGTGGTAAGCAAGTTTACACAGAAGTTGCCTGCATATTGCGAGGAGTCTCGACGACTGTTTTTAGTGGGATATACATGCCCCTCTGTTGTCTTTAGGGCATGGCAAGCCCCCCAAAGTTTACGTTTGGTATTGCTTTTCTTATTTGAGGCTTGGCGATGAGGTATACCGTTGTCATCAAGTACCTAGATTGCGTTCGATTGCCATGCCAACGGTCCTCGATTCTCTTGATAGCGGGCTGCATTCATCTCCATTTTAGGTGGATACCTCATAGTAACAGATGTTTCTAATGTCCCTTGCCACGTACTAGCATCGGCTTACGGCGAATATATTTCACACAAACAGTGAACTCGATTTTTCTTTCCAGAGCGACGCTGTTTTCTCGTCTGATCCCTATTAGGTTGCCAGTTGTGATTAGACCGTGCCGCGTCTATGGTAACTGTAGGCTATAAGCGGGTTTTATTGTTAACTAAAGTTTCGCGCATCGCACGTAAAATGTACCACAGGGATTTCCAATGCAAAGTCAATATACGGGGGACTCATTTTTTTCTCAGTACTTAGGTTATAATTCTGTAATACGTCATATGTAAAATGCCAGGTTTGGCGTACCGTCGTTAAAATGCGTGACTCCAAAGTTAGTCGATTTAACGTCTGTCAGATTCGTTTTTAGCAGGCTAATGGTTAAGCACAGGAGTGAGGGGATCCGCTGTGTATGGCCTGATGTTGATAAGTTATCCACAGCCTCTTTTTATTCGTATATAAGAAAGCCGTACAATCTTATTAAATTTTCTATCTGTTTTAAAAATAGAATCACTCATTTGTTGAATATACAATCTTGCGCTTATTTCTCAAGGGTGCTGGGTTTGTTGGGATCCTCAGCTCTAAATGCCATATCCTGCTGCTCCGCTTGTAAAAGCCCTCTTCAAGGGCTGCATGGCTGAATGAATTAACCACATTATTATTTTAGCACTCAGATAATTAGTTATAAAGGAATCTGAATGAAGTTTATTTATGTGGGCAAGGTTGCCCAATAAGAATCGACAACTGAAGCTTAAGCCCGATCAGGAAACACGACTGGATGTCACAGATATCTATCTATATACTTGCTCTCGTTGGTAAAAGGCTCGTGGTAGTGCCAGTAAAAAAAGGAGTAATAACTTTGGGGCGGCATGAGGTACAAGACGACAACTTATTCAATCATGAACTCAGTCAGAGTCAAATTAGGTACAGTTGTTGAAATAATGGCTGGTTTTATTTACGGAAGAATGTTTGTAGATAATAATAGAAATTGTTGTATAATAAAATATTGTGATAATAATAAAATGTTGTGATAATAATAGAATAATTGTAGAAATAATTTATATAGTCTATCGGTAAGACTTGAAGAATATGATCATTATTAGTCTGTTGTTTAGAGCACACAAACCCTAAGAGGTGCTTAAACATGACCACTGAAAACTTCCTAGGTGCGAAGTATTCATTATAAGTTATATTGGATAGTCTCAAAGGGGTCTCTTGAAACGTAACTGAAAAGTTAAGACAACTACAAGAGTAATTGACGTTCTAAAAAGTTAATTATCAGCGCGACGGTCCTATTTAATCACGGACACCTAAAGAGCTTATAGTAAGGTGCCTTCGCTAGTAATGATTTGCAACAAGGCTTAATGTATTCCTCAGCAAAAAAAAAATCGCTTAATACAGTGTTATTATGCTGGCTTTACAGTGATAGGTGTTATAGCGTTTTGGCTGAGGCTGAGAGAATGGCAAATGGCTGACGCGTGAGGTAAGTTCCCAGCGTAGGATCAAGAGCCGTTCGAAGTATTAGCCCGATGTTTATCAAACAGTGCGTGAACGCTTCTATCTATACTTTGTGCGATCTACGTTCCCATGATCAATCAGTAACTTACTGAAATCGTAATTCAATTACTTACTTATCGATTTCTAAGTATTTAGCTGATTATATTTCGCAAACCAACGTTTGCTGTGCGGGCACGTTTCGATTGTAAATTGTCTGTTTCGATTGTCTGTTTCTCTAATGCTCCAACTGTGATTTGCTGGAATGGTTCATTTATAACTGATTTTATATAGAAGTAAGTTCCATTTTTCTTATGTCAATTTAGACTGAATCGATGAAACTCAACCGCCAAATGTCATCCATTGTTCACCCAAAAAATTTGTAGAAGACATTTTTTAAATACAGGCCAAAACATATAGGTCAATCAGAAAGGCTGATTATGAAAGCAAAGTCCGACTGTAGCCTGCAAATTGCTTTTAAACCTATTCAGAAAGTATAATCTACACCGAAAAGGGCTCTCGGTAGATCAAAAGTGACGACTGTCGTGTTTGACATAAAGTTTCAGGTGAGAGCTTTTTTATTTGGTGGGATGTGAAGGATACTGTGTACTTCAGGCCCTAACAGCTACGGCAATAACTCTTCAGCACTATCAGATTTTTTAAGTTAAATTAATTTGTAAATCTCTCAAGTCGATTTTAGGATTTTTTCACAAAAAAAAATGTAAGTCCATTTAAATAAATGCGGGCGTAAACTTTCTATTAACGTAAGACTTGGCTGGCTCGACCTATACATACAGTTCAGAACCACTAGTGCTAGTGTGAAAAGCGCAATATTTTTATTATTTATTTTTCATTAAAAATTGTCGACCCTTTTATGTCTTTTTGCTTACCAATAACCGTTATTCTCCTCATCTACCTACCTACCTACATCAATTATAGGTCCACTTGCAGCTTTATTCAACTGCGAGCCTACCTTTCCAAAATTGTGAATCTGGTACGTAGAAATATATATATATATATATATACTTTTTTTTGTACAGATGATTTCTTTCTATTCTTTGGTGGATTTTTCTGGATTACTGCAGTATTTCATCTAATTTCATTCATTAAATATCCGCCTCTTTTTCCTTTCGGTAGGATGTTGCAGTATCGGACCATATCTCCCGTGCCAGGGATATATCGAATGCGGTTTACTCATTACCCTTTACCATAATTCTGTGTAGGCGGGATTAACCCGTTAACCTCAGTTGGCATCGATTCAGGTTTAGTGTTATGACTGACATCGTATAACTAAAGTCAAAATCACCACTGCCAGTTGAACCGCAGTGACGATTCAGGATTATAAGGGGATGTGATTAAATCTCTGCAGTGGTATCTATAAGATCCCGCAAAAAATGAGTATGCACTTCAAAACGAAAGTATATGCGTCGGTCAAAGGATGGAACTGGAAAAAGGCAGATCGCATTTAATCAATCGAACGTGGGTTCTCTCAGGGGGATAGCTCGTTTTTGTTTGTTACAACAAGGGGTAAGCTCGTTTGAGCACGCGCTAAGTCGAAATGGCAGCTAGCTTAAAGCAAGTACACAGCACGAGCTCAGGTTTGCAACAACTATCGTCAAACCCTTAATAACGCAGCTGCCTTAAGGAGTAGTTTATGATGCTGGCATGCTAAGTTCAGCATGACTAACAGCTACCAATTTTTCAAAGACATTCCCGAAAAAATCATGCTTTTCACGCTGAAAATGTTTTTCATACGCAATATAATCGTGGGGGTGTCGACATCCGTAGGGGCCTATAGTTCTTTTCTCAGCATACCCGAACCGTAAACGCAAAAGTGCAGCTAAACAGACTCATTAGAGGGAAACCAATATTAAATGGACTGAGGATTTCTCTACAGGTAAACGATTCATGAAGAGGTTTTAGCCTTGCAAACCAATAAGTATATTGAACTATATAAAACCAATGAATATATTCTATCTTTATAAATTTGCATTCTTACCTGAAAATTGAGTCTCCAAAAAAATTCTAGGTACCTTTGCTACCCTAGAGACAAATGACGGAGAACATGACGGAAGGCCTGTGTCAATATCACATTTTTACTTACTTCTGCTAAACTGAACGCCAAAAATAATTTTTCTTATTCTACACAGCCTGACTCTGCACGTTGCAAGGCACGCTAAACTCGGGCAAGAATCGAAAAGCTAGCTAAATGTATACGTTTCGAATATAGACCCCTCAAAGCCAAGCAAAAAACATCAGGATCGATATAAAAGTAGGCAGTACTTCGAATTCCCGATCTAGCTATCTGATTAAAAAGCCCTCTTCGATCCACTCTATTTAGAGTCGAATTTATTCACTTTTCGCTATTTGTCCAGGCCAAGTTACATTTTCTTTCATTGGCAGCGGTCACGCACTCTTGTTCCGCAGTTGTATTGTACGTCGCGTATGCAAATCGATCAGGTGAACACTATCCATCCCAATTATTAGCATTGACACGCTCCGGTTTTACACGCGACTCTGCCGACGGCTCGTAAGGTTGCTCCCGCAAATGCGCGGATGATAGGCCCTGCAGAGGGCAGCTGGTGCTGCTAGGAAAAGTCGTCCATTAGAACACCCGCACAGTTGATAGACGCCTCCATACGGTTTTCCCGTCCTCGACCCCAACGGGCTACGAAGTTTATCTAGATAAATTGAATCTGCCGAGAGTATAATCTGATGCGAAGCGGCAGAATTCGAAAAGGAAAAAGTAAAGGTAAGTGCAAGATCGGGATCGATACACATTGGGGTGGTAATGCCAGCGTGTAATCGAATCACCCTTTGTCTGTATAAATCCTGAATTCAAATGTGTGATGGGCTGGGCAACGCGTTGTGTTTTTTGGCGTAAACGTAATTTTATCAATTGCGCCCTTATGAGTAGGTCACGACCTGACCTATACGCAAGCAAAGGACACCTCTTATACATTGTCGCGAAGATTAAACCGGCGCCGAAGCGTTGATACCATGTACGTGTCGAAACGACTGAAAGATATCTGTAGCTAGAATGTTTAATCTGCCATTTAAAAACTGGAAAATAATCGTCACCGGGTAATTACGAAGAATTCAAATAGCAATTTGTTTCGCAGTCGCGTGACGGGACTGTGTGCGTGCGCATTTGTTTGTTAGGGGCAAAATTAATTATAGCATAACTCGTTTCAATATCTAATTTTTTTCTAATCAAAAGAAAAACCAAATGACACAGGGGTTTACATTAATTTTTTTTCAAGTGCAATACCGCCTAAAACGTTCGAACAATAGCTCGGATCACTGGTTATATATATATATATATAACACCAGTGTTTGTGGGAACGAAGAGCTGGTCTCACCTGTCCCTCACTAGATGCAATAGTAAGATTTCCATTAGACTCAAGAGTAAGATTCGACTCGGAAGAATCCAGAGTAACAGCTCGTGGGCCCTCTACACGTAATTCGCGAGTGGCGCTTTCCACACGCAGACCGCCGAAGTCACCCCATGCTACCATCGGTGTCTGTACCGATACGCCATCCGCAAACCGAACTCCACTTCGACCTAATCAGAAATACAGTAAGTTAAATTTGAAATAACTATGCCGTTGTCGTGCCATTTATTTTCATAGAAGACTTGCCCACTAGATTATGATACCTACGCAATAACTAGGAACGGTATGGCGGCTAGTTTCTCATTAAGTAAAACTCGAAGAGCTATAGTCAAGAAATTATTCTCTTTGAGTCAGAGTAATTACTTTTTATATTCTCTTAGCAAATTACGATGGTAGAACTGATCGAGGCCTTCCATCAACGGATATGATGATATTTGCGCCTACTAATCTGAAGCCACGTAGACCTAAGATAACACGGCTTCAAATCGGAACTGACTCACTCACCAGTAATCTTCAATGTATGCACCGCCGTAGTGACTGCAGGAGCTTGTTGACCTTCACTCGCTTGAAAAATTAAGCGCCCCTTTGCATTATGAATGGAGAAGCTTTCGGCGAAAACCTCCACCCTTTCGGGGGCTGAAAAATCGATTATCAATAAGATCTTAGTTGGTAAATTTACCAAATTTGATTTGGTTTATCTTGTATTTTAATTAATTCGAAAGCAATCTTAGCTCTGGAAAGACTCGTATTGTCGAAAAACCTTGATCCTTGGGCCAAGATTAGCGCTATATCGGTTCCCTGCGTTCTACGAGCTACTTCACAGTGATTCAGTATCGGACAGCCTTTCTCACTGCACATGCTCCCAGCTGGAACATCCTTTTACCAAAGATACTCTATCGTAACACATACTTTAGAGGTCACCGGTCGATGAAGGATGTACTGTTACACCTAATGGTAAAAGCCCAGTGTTAGGGAAAATAATGCTCTATGGGACCCATTAAATAGGATTTCCAGCGTTGGTTTTTTAGGTGTTGATATACGACTGTTACTCAAAACGACGAATGGATTCAATTAGTGGCCTAGACTCAGCAGGAACTAGTAGATGGAGAGCCTTATGCATGCACACAGGTAGGTATGAAGTATGAGGTTCGTCTTATGCCGCTCGATTATGAAGTACAAAATATTGCGTGCGAGACAATTAAATTCTTGGCTGCCGAATTCGATCGAACATTTTTTTCTAGGAGTGAATGTTTTTTCAAACGTCATTGAAACAGGTAGCGTTTGATTTATGGAACATCAGACTCTAGGTTACTAACCTACCAATTGACATGTAACTTGTCGATGTCGCGTTCTTAGTATTGGAAGTCGATGAGAGGGTAATATTCACCAATGACTGGACCAGAATCGGCTCATCCTGAAACATTTTACATAACAGTTACTTCTTTTATTTTCATATTTTAGGATAGTTGATATTTTTATTGTATAGTAAACAGGATCCTTGCTTATAAAAACGTCATGGATGTATAAGGGCGGATTTATACAACAGTGGTTTAGACAAAGTATAGATAGACGAACTAATGCTTCTGAGTGATGGCTAGGCTCCTTGCGATACTGCGTATTTGTTTTCGGCTCAATGCCAGTAAAAGTCAAAAGGTCCTTCTAGCCCAACCAATTACTACGATTCTCTCTTAACTCGATTGACGCTTTCGTAAACCACACACGGCGCCTTCGTTTTATAAGAATACTATATTATATATATATATATATAATTTTTGCCAAACAATGCTAATTATATTATAAAAAACATAACACAGGTATTCATATTGTGTGCTGTACAAACGACAATTGTGTCCTGCATTAATATACCGAACGAAATCAAAAAGTCCTGACAAAATATAGCTATACATAAAATCAATCTTTAATATATATAGATTTTCTCAAATGAAATTTAGTTTTACAGTCGTACGTTCACTTGATTTGAACTGTATAAGACAGGCAGTAATTTTTTGCAGTGGATTTCTGATTTGTTTGATTGGCATATGCATCTTCACCGAAATAGACTCGCGGATTTGTTCGGATAGCTTCCGCCTACTGACTGGAGCAGTGCCGGATAAAAAACAGCGTACCGGTATCGAAAATTATCAGAGACACGTTGTCTACGAAACTCTTGTTTCTAGCTAACTCCATACAAATAGGTAAAAAAGGCTGCAAACTTTCATTATAAGCTGGATCGGTTTTGGCTGGAAGTTGGATGCAGGTTTGAGAGATTGCATTCGTCGTCCTTCTATTTTCCTTGTATTTTTTTAGCCTCAGATGCAAGAACAATCTCGAAATTCAAAAATGCCATCAAAGGGTCACAACAACACTGACTTTGTATGTAGGCGGTGGGTAGGGAATAAAATAGGTGTTATAGACGCTGACATTTAAGGACGTAACTCGTAAACACTCCTAAAAACATCAACCGAAAAAGAGAATTAAGTCACTGAACGTTAGTAGAATTCTGATATCACAGAGGACGCACTTTTTGTCCTATCGTTTTTCACTTAAAACATGATATATAAACACCCGGAGCTAGCATCGTGTGCAGCGTTCACGTGTACACCATAATATCTAACCGGTTTACTTATGTGGTTAAAGGCAGGACCAGGTAGCGAACGTCAAAAGTGTTTATTTACTTCTTTGCTGGGAATTGCGCTTCGAATGATTTAGCAATTGCTGACCGATACATCGGATTTAGTTCGGACGGCGATGTACAGTATCACTTATGTTTTTATTCTTGTTTCTTTCTGAGGCAAGATATACACTTTTTAATTGCGTTCTCAAAACGTAAATAGCATCGTACTTAACGTTATGGCTATACAGAACTAAACGCAATTTACATGCACTTCAGTTAAACGTACGATGCTCAGCTTGCGTCTCTATAGAAGAACAGGTTTAAACTTGGCTACTCCCACCAGTTAGAATGCTTAACATTTGCCAAGCAGATGAACGCAAGCCAAACTCTTCGACAAACTCTGGGCCGGACAATTTTATTCGACGACCTTTTTTTCGTACGAGTCTCCTGAACACCATCGATAGACACTCCCTGAGAACCTCACTACTAGGTGAGGCTTCGCATGATAAAGTATAGGTTATAAAATCGTGTTCCGTGTCCTACAATGGGAGGAAATTTTAAAGAAAGAAAGTCATAAGTATCATTATTAGTTCTGTCTATATATACATATATATAGACACATACGTTCTTCAAGTACCCAAGCTACATTGACGCTACGTATTGGCCACGTTATTTTTACTTACTATTCGCGAGTGAATGTTCTTGACGGCGATATTGTCTAGGAAGTTTACCACGCTGTCTGCTCTTAGCGAGTTTGCCTTAATGGCAATAGAAGCTAGGCCTGCTGTAAACGAGAAGTTTATTGCTTTCGATATCCACAAGGTGAGCAGAAGATTAAAAGCGGCCAGCCATGATAGTGTGATAAGAAGCATAAAAAGGTATTTTTTCCGCCAGCCCCGAATATCAATAACGAGACCATCGAACATTGAAGATGCAGACGACATAATTAGCGGGTACGAATACTGAAAAAGGGCAAATAATACAGTTTTATTTGTTTGAGTGTCTGTTGGCAGAAGATCCAAGTGATCCATATCTATGAATTACACAAACAAGCTACGGGATATCCAATCGATAATGAAACGATCGATAAGTTGCTTTTCCAGAGCAAATGAAGAACCTGTAGTCGCCTGTATCTAATAGTAATACACGTCACAATACACTCTATCTATGAACGTAAGCTTGACGGTGTTCAAGCCGCAAGTTAAACTTAGCCAAATCATAGCAGATTAATGACAATGATAGAAAAAATAATTTTTTTTAAGTAGGCTTTGACAATTGAACTTATAAATTAGTGCCGATAATCGGATGCTCTTACTGTCAGGGTTGCGGTTTGGTACGCTATGCTGATAAAGCAAATACCAACATGAAAGTGTGGGCGCGACCAATGACGGTTTTTTAGGTTAAACTCTCATTTGTTCTTAGAGTCATTTTGAGGGACCTGTGGTTGGAATGCTTGTACATATGTTCTTTATTTCATAAAGCGTATCGGAATATAGAAACCCACCGCACCCGACCCATGTCGAGACACTCAGTGACGTTGTTGCAAGTAAAAGTCCACAAATAGATGGTAGCATGTGCATCTGCTACAAAGTATAGTACTGCAAAGTACATAATTGTTCGATATCATAAAACAGAAGTTGGTCATGTTATGATTACCTTTTATATGTATGGAAATCCTTATCCGAATGTACCAAGTACGTATGTGCAAATCTTACTTAGCTGGAAAAACATTAGCTGATGCGCTAGTGTGGAAGATCTAGACTTGAATAGAAGTGTCGTATGTAGGGTGCTTACTTTGTATATCGTTATGATGTTGTAATGTGCTTGAAAAGAACTGAAACAACAAAGAATTGGGGCCTGGGCACAGAAGCAGGGATGAACAACGTCGCATTTCAACAGGCAAAAGTCATGTTCCAGTTGAGCAGTCATGAATGGACGGGAAAACATCGGGAATGTACTGGCTGACCGCACTTACAATGGCCAGCTTACCCGGAACAGACCGGATACTTAAACGATGCTATCTGTGCTCACTTTTTTGCCTATCGGCAAATAATTAACAGAACACTGCACATCTCACCAATGTATTCAGTCGTTTCTATCAATTATCAAAAGATGAGGAACGCATGCCCTCGATTTAAAACGTTAGCTATTTTCGCTGATACTTTTCTAATGCTCACCGCAGTCTGATGCATCGTATGGCTCATTGTCCCATTTCCGTGTTGGACTAAAGCGATATTCTTTTTAGCAATCCCTGTGACGGGCAATACTCCACATGGACTACAACTATCGCCGATGCTTTCGCCATTGAACGCCTGCAGAGCAGGCTCGTCATCATCCGACGCCATCATAAAATCACCCTTCACCAACAAGCAATTACCACGCGCGTAACTGTTTGCACTTCACGAATTTCCTCTGTCGAAATCACATAATGGTAACAACATCTTGATCGTTCAAATCACCCCAGCCGGCACATATGGACGACATGCTCCACTTGCAGAATTTCATTAATTACATAGCACCTCAGCCATTTGTGCTGGAATGCTTTTTACAATCAGGCTGTAACCACTACATTTGGTTTACACGAGCACTGTATAATGCACAAATACTATGTAGCAGCAAACGGTTGTTCGCTGGTTCTGCTTGATGCACAAATTGCTTAGTGCAACCCTTAATGCCCTACTGAACTGTCCGCTATCCCGGTCAGGGCCTGTCTGACAGGAGTTCTTTCTGAGCCACGTGTTGCGAGGGGCGGTCTGTAGGAGAGGGAACGGTGAGCTCCGCCCAGGGGCCTCAAGGTACGAGTGCTAGGGCCCCACAGTGGGAACTTGCAAGCCGGTGGCGATGTAGTAGTGAGGACCTTAACGCAGGAGAGAGACGTAATCCTAACCTTTGGAGCTCTCGAAGAGATCTTTGCGCCACTGAGTCGGTCAATCCGTCTTTGCAGAATCTGCAAAAGTTGCCAGTTTTTAGTGTATTTCTAAATTTTGACTCGACTGTTTTTTTTTTATCTTGACAACCTAAATCAGCCCACTTTTCTACCCTTTTCAGCCCACGTATAAATTACCCGTATGGTAATAATGATGATAAGTACTAAAGCCAGTGGTTTCATCGTGCAATCTTTGATGAACTGATTTTTCTCGATCGCGCGAGATTTCCATCATAGGATAGACCGACGAGCCAAATTGATTGAGTACAATAAATTTGATTATTCACGCATATTGAACCCCCTGTATTGCACGAACTATATAATAGACCACTGCACATCTACCTAAATATGATTAGAACACAAGGAAAGCTTAAAGTACCTTTTGGGTTTACGATGGCTAACTTTACATACGTTCCTGATCATTTCCTGTTCGAATCCACCAATCGGCCACTTTCCAAAGGGTGACATCATGTACCTACTAACGCAATATTTCATTCTATGTAAATAGTTATTTATGGAATCAGTTAATGCATCCGGCTAGCTGTGTAGACATTATTGTTTCTTTTTTTGTTTGTAAACATTGTGTAAAGTCAAGCGATCTCGGTATGAACAGACTTTCCGCTTTCGACATTTCTGCTCAATTATTTTGTCAGGTAATCGAACAACCTCTAGCAGGCCGTCAAATACTAGGCCACAGTATTGCTAATGCTGATAATGGCACTAACAGTAGTAAGACAAGATTAGGACACAAGATCAGCGCAAGGCTCCGATGCTGTAACTACCGCATTGAATGTATTGGCCTGCCTGGTCGATGGACCGACCGAGTAGCAGATGCAGGCGAGCCTGGTTCGAGCGCCTCCATCAGCCGAAGCATTGCACCGCAAACGGTGCGGACCTGAGAATAAGGGAAAAACCTATATCTTAATAGGACTTTACGAGGTGCAGTATATACAAGATGTTTCGATTATTACGGATTGTATGGAAGATCTTTGGTGCAATGCTTTGCTTGCACTTCAGATGCTGAATTGAGTAAAGGATTTTCAAATAATAAATATAAAATTTCAAACTATTAAAGGACGTCGAGGCCTAATCAGAGCCCTAAAGGGCCAATAGAATTCTGTAAGAGTTTGCTATCCTAGCGTTCATGGACAGGTCGATATGTATTGAACTAAGATAAAAATGGCGTTTTCAATGTTGAACTCCTATAGCGAGCGAAGTATTGTTTAACATCTGTGCGTAATTCTCATGTGGTGGAAACCAGGTCACTCATTATACGTTCGAAAGAATGATAAACAATGCTGATCGGAGTCTTCTCGTGCAAATCCTAGGGTGGGACGTGTGTCCCTCCTACAAATAAGCTCATGAGACTGAGATTAGTAAATAGAGTAATTTGCATCGAAATTAGAGCTTGAGTTACGAGGCAAAGTTAAAAATCTGCCGTTTTAAGCGAAACGGAGTCTTGATCATCGTACATCTTCAAGCTTCACGGTGTCCCACTTCTTACTCATTGTTGGTAAACAGTAGTGAATGATGAAACGGTAGGGCAAAACTAGATAAATGAACCATTTTTTTTTTTGTTGAAATGTACTAATATATTCAGCAACTTTTACGCTGTTGTAATTAAGCAATTAAATATGTACATAGTTTCGGATACTCTGTATAAACAATTTAGCCCGAGTGCTAAACTCGATATATATTTATCATAACTACCTGATGAAAAAAAATGTAGAGATCGAATAGAATGCCCGTAGGAACTAATGATACTTGACTGAAACACAATTGTATTACAATGGACCGATGAACTAATCAAGCAGAACAGCATTTGAAAAACGCCGGTTCCCTGCTTACGATACCGCTGATCATATATATATATATGTATAACACGTATAACAAGGGGCTAGCTATTTATATAATGGCTGATTAAATTAGACCATAAATTCAGTTTTACGAGTGAAATGTCGAATTTAAATAACACCAAACTTAACAAAAACTCCTGAGTGCAAGCTCTACCGTTACGTTCTATTAGTTATGCTTCCTTAGAAGAAAATATATTGTTGTCTGATAAATAAAAAAAAAAAAAACAAAGAAAAAAAAGTACCTTTGCGTAAAGATCTGACTGCAGATATGCTATTAGCAGGATAACTGTCGCATCTTTTTTACTTGTGAGAAACAAACGTAATCAGGCCTTTTTGCACAACAAACGTTAGGCAAACATATGCTTGTGATCTGAGAGCACTTCTAGATGGAAAGAGGCCTTTTTCTTGCTATATCTTAGGCTTAGAGCAGTATGGACCTCTCAGTATCTAGTTACATCTGAGTGCCACACTTATAGCCTGCGTCAATAAGCCCACCATTAGTTTCACGGATTGTAATATCCGCATTAAGATAATTCTACTCGCGCCCCACGAAAGCTATGTTCATTGGTTAAAAATGTCTAGAAAAGTACTGTCGTTCCATTAAAGGGCACTCGACAGTTCCTATGATGGGCATGATTTACTTATTCTTTCAAAGACCCCTTGCTGTATGGTGCATTATTTTTACATTGCCTGGTTTTGATAAAGTCCAAGATGTCAAGTTTCTGCCAAAACATGAACTCTTACGTTAATTGATCGGACGCTATTAAGCCTAGTTAGTGATTAATTTTTACCGTCACCGCCAATATATACGAGAGTTAATTTCTGTAATATGATTAATTGCCCATTAGTATATTATCGATTAAGGGTGCTTTTTATCCTGTTTGCACAAAATTAAATTTTCGGGGTGGTGTCGAAGGACGCAGGAACCGTGCATTACTGCTTTTACTTATTGGGCCGTAGCTGAATGGATAGCAGGATGTCAGCGAAAAAAATTTTAGATGCGCATGTTGATTGCATGAAATGAGGGGAAAAACGGTAGAGCTAGTCGAGAAGGAGATAGTAAGGATATTTCTGTTATCGACGTCAATGGATCGAACATGCTGTCATCGAGGATCCTTCGTTGACATTGTTTCTTCGTGCTTTGCCAATGCGTTCTTCGGATTCGAAGCAAGGAGCAACTGATAGTGAGTGGCCGACGTCCTATCGAGGCGATAAGTCGAGGATAGAAAAGCGAACAAAAGTAATTTTCCAATTCACTTGATCTGGCGATGGCCGTCCACGCACGATGTCGTGCATTGTAACATCGCGAATTGTCTGCTGTAACTGTGAACCTTCTTTTATGGGCAGGGAGTGCATGTGTTTTTTTCCCGTCTAGTTTGTACAGAGCGTGGCGACATTCGGTGAAGATCGCAATGCAAAGAAGTCCAGGACATTATCTTGTACACGATGCAGATACCTAAACTACGCGTTGGCCTATATTTAAAGCCTGCAAATAAAACCTTTGGTTATTTCTAAGCGAGCTTAATTTACGCCAATGACGTATGTGGCAAATCAGACTTTGTTTGAGTACCGAGCATCAGAAATGCGTTCAGAGACACGCAACCACAGAAACGGTTGCGTAATCATCCGGCTAAACGCTGGCCTTCTTAGTCCCAACTCGTAACTGGTATTTATGTTCGTTCGATAAGTTAAACCCTTCATTCGCCCGACTTCCTCTATCTAACGGTCCTTTCATCAAATAACGAACATTGTGAAGCTCGATATCTAAAAGCTCGTGCGTTCAGCTTAATTCATCGCTATCGCTGCGGCATTAAATCATCTAATATCTGTGTTATAGTCGCCCATTGCATCAACAACCAGAAACAAGGGGCCTTCAAGGCCTTGTATAGCCAGCCTTTTATGCGAGAGCAGGACAACTCATGTCTACGGCGCTTTGACAATACAACCTAACTGTCGACCTGATTATGCTGCAACACCAAATGAACTTGCGCGTATAATCCTTCCTCCTTTTTTTTTTGTCCCGCTTTCAGTTTCTTTCAAATTTTATCACTGAAGCTATAATATTTAATTCTGTAGCATATTAAAGATACGAACTCTATGAATAATAAGAGAAACGAACATTTCTACAAAATATCAACGTGGAAAAGACGGAACATTTATTAAATCACTTCTTTTTTTTTTAAATCACATCTCAAAAGCAAGTTACTTGAACTTCTGTCCTGTAGGCTAAACATGCTAAAAGATGAGCTTAAACATGTTAGATGCTCGATGCATTATAAGCCGGAAGTTTTGAGTGAGTCCACAACACTCGACCGCGATGGCAAACCAACTTGAATTAGCATGTCACACTGAAGTCGATATACAATGGTATTTGTAGCTAATAAAAGAACTAATCAATTAGGGTTTTTTGACTACGTACCCGAGCGAAGCTTGATTCCTCCAATGAGAATAACAAATCATGAACAGAACCGTAGCGAAGCGTTTTCAACCGAAGTGCAACTCCAGAGTATTTATAGCTATTCTGGCTGTCAAATTTCCCAACGATTAAGAGGTTTCCTTGGATTAGGTCAGACATTATCATGGTTAGGGAAGAAGTTTTCGCTTCGATGACGCGGCTGCAGCGCGCGCGCTGGCGCCTCGGTGTTGAAGGATCATTAATTTCTCCACAACGCGTACACGCCGATGAAGAGGGGTCGCCCCAAGAAACTGGGGGTGGCTTCAACCATCGTCCTGGTTACAGCTTCGGTCGACTTCCATGCTTATGCAAGCCTATCGGATCTTTCCTCTATGATTCAACGTGAGAAGATAACGCGTTTTATTGGCTTTACGGGCGGTCGCTAACATGAGAGCGTCGCGATAGAGGGGAAGTAGCTATATAAACTATGGGAAAACACAGATCAGAGGGAAGGGTTAATATCGCAAGCCCGCAGTATATGCTGCTTTTGAAACTATCACTATATTTATGTGGTCAAATTCTCCTTTATGTTCTTTCAAAAGGTATCACAGCCCCCCTAACTGAGAGTAACCTTTCCTGTTTAGAATAGGACATTTTGGCCCATGCGAACCGCTGCATCAAAAGCGTTAGAAATAAAATATC